ACTTTTCAACGTTCACCTCATGGACTCGTGTCAAGCAGATGCCTGGAGATGGATGGCACTGTTTAAAGCATTTGTTCCCTTTAGACATAGGTTTTTTGATACACGTTCAGAAAATCGGAGGTATGTTTTTCTTTCTGTTCTTCCAATGTAACTGCTCCCGCAGATACACGTAAATTTGTATACACAGTTGGAGATAACATGGGAAGGATATCTGTCGACTTTTGACTGCACCAAAGAGCATGTTGTTCGATAGCTGTGAACCAGCTTAGCTGATGATTAGTGAGTGTATTCTTTGAATTCATGATTACCCTTTAAGAAAATTAGTCTGATTACAGTATAACAATTCGAAGTCGACTCTTCCGATTTTCTAATTTCAAAAGAGATGAATTATCCACAGGAGATATTTTCAGAATACGAATCTGTAAATAGATGAGTTCATCTCCTTTAGCATAACTCGATGCACATCTCTCTCTTAATGATATTTCATTATGCGAGACTAAATGATATTTTTGTATATTATCATAGAACACAAAATTTTACGTTTCACTGGTAAAACTTATTCATACAACCGGCTCCCTTTATTAGTTTGAACGAAGAAGGAACGAACATTTTTGCAGGATGATATTAGCTCGTTTTATTTCGTGGATTTTTTTTTCCAGCTGCATACAACCTAAACAATATGGTTTTGCTTATAACCTAGCACCTTCATTCAAGGCTTTTAATGACCCCCGAATCAATTTGCTTGTAAACATAGCAGGTGTACTTTAGATGCCAGTGTATCACTATATCATAATATTGTCTGTAGTTTAGATGGAGGTGTCCGATATATATTCAGTGTACCTTCCTAGATTACACACCTACCTTCGACTCTGTATCTAGGCTTTTTCTGTTAAATAAGCTTCCTGCATCACAAGCACAGTACTGGCTTACCAAGTGGTTGCATTCTTATTTTTGTTTTTCTGATAGGAGACAATACACTGTTTATAATAAAAAGTCGTCCACTACCTGACTTATTCCAGCTAGTGTTTCTCAAGGAGCTGTTCTAAAATGAATAACTTTATCAGAAATTAGTCAGTGGTCCTCGTCAAATGGTATTAAGCCTAATTCACTGCAAATGTCAAGTGGTTAACTCCACTCTCAGACACACAAGTGCGACGTGCAGGAACTGGTTAGTTCGCAATGTTCCACCAGCATAGACAGCATTGAAGTTGAAACTAAATTGAATGTTAAATACCCTGCTTAGACTGTGTTTTTTCTCTAATCACCTTTCCTGGTCTTCACACATCATGTTAGTTTCCAGAAATATATTTCGTTCATACAAAGAAGTCAAGATGATCTGGTATCATTCCGTCTCTACGGTTGCCATTTTTTTTAAATTCTTTTATTCTTCTTATACTTCTGTACTATCTCCCTACAACCTAATCTTTCCTCGGCTGTTCAAGAAAGACGTTGTCATACTGCATAGGGCGCTAAAAGCCGTTAGTAAGACGAGTGGGGTGTTGCTAAACCAACTCACTAATACTGATGTAGATAGACACTTGAATTCCTGCAGGAAATCAGCAAATATTATCCTGTCAGACTGTTAACATCCTCTCGATACATACAACTCTCTCCTTGCTACATCTCATCGGGTAGAAGCAGAAGCAACTATACACGACTGTATGCTCAGAGAACTAAGTACAAAAATTCTATGATACCTGATTTAGGACACATTTTATGTGATTCGAAAAGTGTAAGACAGGAAATAACTGACTTGCTGAGGAACTCTAGGCAAACAGCATTGTTTTTGTTCTCATTATTACAATGTCGCTAGTATTTTCACTTCATTTAATTTAATATTCATTACTTATTGAATAATATTATTAATGTAAATGCCCTGTTGTAATTATTACCCATGTAATGAGAAAATTAGATGCAGCATTGTATTACATGCTGAAAATTCTATATTTGTACCAAAAGTACTGTTTGGAATAAAGTTATTATTACTACTAATTATAATAATAATAATTTACTTTATTCCAAAATCAGTACTTATAATACAGAATAGAATTCTCAGCATTTGTCACAATATCTTGCATCTGATTTACTTAAAATATAAATAAAATTAAAAATTAAAACAAAATTAACCAAAGGAATTTGTTCACTTTCACGATATAAAGTCAAAAGTATTCAAAGCACGAATTGGGAATATTAAATATAATAATAATAATAATAATAACAGTGAGTTTGTTTCAAACAGTATTGTCGATTCAGTTTGGAAACTTTAGCATGTTATAGATTATTGGATCTAATGTTCTGTTGATATAGCAGCATGGTGAGGGGAAATACAAAATTAACAGTTATTCACACAGCTTAAATTATGTTCACACTTATGAAAAAATAAACAAATAAAAAGAAGATTGAGAGGATTATGAATATAAGAAATACAATAACAATAAAGTTTGGTACTGTAAGGGTGGAAGAAATGGTTTATTTAGTAGTGCAAAGAAGGTTAGTTAGTTCATGCCTGACACTATTTTCACCACATAAAGTACGTGCCGCCAAATATGGTATAGTTGAATTTTTATACTCAGACGTAGGTGCATAAATTCTTCTGAAAAGACTTCTGGTGTTACCTGAGGAGACACAAGGTTGGAGCTGCGGGTGCTGTGGTGGATCCTAACAGTCTGACGAAATTCCATTAGCAAATTAGTTGCATGACATCAAGTGCCTATCATTGACAAAGTCAACGATATGGCCCAATGGGATACCACTGGCCACACTGACTGACAGTCTTCAAAGTTCTACGAAATATGACATAGTGTTTTTTAAGCAATCAAGGAAAGAATAAGGGTGAACAGTAAAGAAGAATAGATAAACTGTAAGATGAGTGGTTGGGTTATGCCTGAGTGCCTTAACTTCCTAATGTAAAAAGTCAGATGGTATATTATCATCACTGTTATTATTACCATTATCATTATTAAATAATTTAAGAACTAGAATTCGATTCTAAGATGGGGTAATGAAAAGTAAATATTGAGAAATTATTTTTCAGAGTAGAACTTTCAAAATACTTTAAAATCTATACGAGACATCCAAACACTCTCGCCTACCTAAAATTTGGCATCAAAATTTTAAAACACGAATTCACAGCAGCATGAATGTGATTTTATACTGACAGACTGACTAACGGACTGGTATCAACATAGAACTTTGCACCGATGTGCAGCAGTTCGAGTCGCCACACTCCATGTACCACACAAAGCAAGAGAATAAAATGAAAAGAAATGCAAAATAGAGACAGTAAACTGAGATATGAGGCAAGAAGAATAGTAGCATTGAAGAACCACATAGTTTTATTATGTTTTATAAGTCACAAGGAGTGGCTGCATGTGCTCCATTGATAACAAGGATTTTGAGCCATATCACCAATTGTCTCCATTGCCATCAGTTTTTACCGTCTCGAGAACCCCAACCAGGAAATCTATACTTAAACTAACTGTTGTAGATTTCATTGACTGATGAAGCCATGGCTTGGTTTGACCACCAAACACAGTTTTGTGTGAGGTCAAACTTGTAATGTTCGAGTGTCAGTCAAGTTGAAGGCTAAGTTTGACGACTGAATGATAGAATCTTTTTTGAAGCTTGATGGTCTTGCACTTCTTAATTATGCTGTAAATATGCTCATTTAAGAAGTTCTGAAAGCTGCTATAGACTGTTGTATAATTTCTTCTGGATTTCAGAATTTCACTGGTCAGTTTCAACATGAATTGTAAAAGCTGCTTTAAAATCGATTAACTGTTCTCAGTATACACTCAATATTATACATATATATATATATATATATATATATATAATTTATTTTCTGTTTTATTCCTCTATTTTGCGAGTGGAACATACAGCTAGCGCTTTGAAGTTTAGCTAGCGATGGCTTTATTTTTAAGGAGTGCGGTTCCTAGCCTCACGTCCAACCTCCTGTCTTTACGGGATTTACTACCGGTCTAGCGAGGTTTAAGAGTGCATCGGACGGGTCTTGAACACCAGACCACATCCGTGGTTGGCGAGCGTTCTACGGCTAAACCACTGGCGCATATATACATAACACAATAAAAATCTAGATGAAGTTTTATTTTTGTTAATTTATGCACGAACTAGTAATCAGTTTCATTGAAATAAATATAACATTTGGTTAATAGAATTCATAAGTCGATGTTACGTTTCATGTTATTTTTATCCCAAACATTTCTGCGGGTTAGCTTTTCCTGCTTCGGTGCGTCGGTGGTACAGTGGTTAGGACTCTCGCCGACCATGCACATGGTCCGGGGTTCGACCCCACACCGACGCACACCTGATATCTATGGTCGGCCTGCGAAATTTCGGGCTACCGATATCCATGCTGAAAATTCCATACTTGTAACAAAAAATACGGTGTGGAATCAAGCTGTAATCAAAAATATAAAATATAAAAAAAAATATAAAAATAACGAAAATATCAGATAGTATTGAAGAAAATTCATTGTAAGTCTTGCATAAATATTCCTACCGATAGCTGCTCCATGATGTGGTAATCCGGCTTGCATATCGCAGTGACCCAACAATCCGCACTGGCTGGAATCAATGTCACTGTGGTCTTACGATGTCCGAAAGGTTGTTTGGTTATCAGTTAGACTAAAAGCAGTTTCCATCAGAGAGGGGTAGAGGAGGTCGACCCCGAAAATTGTATATCCCAACTTATTTTGCTCCGGTCTGTTGCCGCCGGTTAGATCGTTACATGGACACAACTCTGAAAACCACTTCAAACAGGTCGTGTACGGTACGTCTTCACCAGACACTGAACACTGAAGCTATCGGTCTTTACAACATGATCCTTAGTAGCTGCCTGAGATTTTTAGTGTATTTTAATTTCACTTTTGCAGTTAGTGTATCAAACCTAATTTATTAATTAATACTTACATATTTCATGTATCTGCATGTACTAACATTTGAAACTTTTCACTTAAAAACTCTCTCTCTCTCTCTAGGATCCGTTTGCGTCGTATGATGTGAACAGTAATGATGATAATCCAGAACCACGTTATCTAACAAGGGATAAAAGTAATACTAAGTAAGTTAACAGTGTTTATTTATTTTACGCGTTATCTATATCAAACGGGTTACGTTTCATATTATGCGAAATTCAAATTGCGCAACTTAATTGCGTATAAATTTCATCTTCAATTGTGATTTCTCGATGCTTCAATTAGGTTTTTCGTTACTTTTCTTTCAATTAATTATAAGTTTTGGGTGAATTTCAAGTCTATTCGGTATGTGTCTTTTGAAGACATTCAATATTCAACATCTTCAAGACCTTCACTTTCACTCTCTCCTATTTCACATTTTTTTATCATATGCATTCCGGGTAATGCGTAATAAAATCTACCCTTTTTAAGTATATAAAATAGATCAACCATGACATTATTGACTTCATGTGTTAGTAGCCTTAAAACTGGTTCACTAATTGTCGATTGGTATTTAGCTATTAGCTGTAACCTTATTATGTAATGTGTCTATTTTAGACGTAAATGATATTGGGTGAATGACAGTTAAACAGTGATTGATTAGCAATACTTGTCATAATTTATTGTGATTGATCTTAGATAATTTCTTGCATACCATGATTTCATAAACATGAGGCTTTTTGTTTGCCTTACTCTGTAGGTGTGTGTGTGTATGTGTGTTAATAACCCTGTTCATAAGCCTTTTTATCATGTTTTGGGCTTCATTTTCCCTCTAAACAACACTGTCAGTTCTAAATTCACAGTGAACTTTGATTTTGGAATTTCACATAAATGAAATAGCTGTCTTTCTTGATGGTCGTAACAGTGATTGATTGTCTCCGAAGGTTCCTATGTACTGGTACTGTTTTTTCGTTGATCTGGCATCTGGGGTTTTGATATTGCGGTTTGTTTTGTATTAATTAATATGTTCGATTACTGATGATTTGATTATATTCCTTTGCGCTTCCAATGGAACATAGGACTCGGGCTTAAGCTTTGAAGTTCACGGAATAGCGTGTTTATTTTTTACTAGGTGAGTTTGCTAGCCTCACTCCCACCCTACCCTCTTCATCTGGCTTATTGCTGGCTAGGACAGATTAATGAGAGTGTTTGTCGAGAATCGAACCTCGGACCGCTTGAGTGGTTGGCGAGTATTGTACCAGTGAACCACCGACCCACAAAATATTTGTTAGCACGTCTTCTAACTTCAGATTGATCTGGTTATCATAATCTTCCCATATTTTCAGTGTTTCCTCTGTTTAAGATTTCTACATTTTCTTAGTCGAATTGGTCTCCAAATGAAATGAAGGAGTAAATATCGTATCTTTTAGTTGTTTACTGGAGATGTGCTGTTGAAATCAGTATAAAATTTGGGCACTGTGGTAGAGTATAACTCCATTATAGATAAGATTTTATTTTGATAGCTCACACAGTGTTGTTATACAGTAATATTAACTGATGCGACCACGTTTCGAGCACAAACTATTGCCACTCATAATCACATCAAGTCATACAACAATAATATGAGTGTTACTGATCAATTAGATCAATCAGATGGGAAATAAGACGAGTGATTTTGTAGTCATAATAATAAGTAACTTGTTAGAATGTTGCGATGTACGTGAATTGAATTGAAATAGAATTTTGAGATTATTTATTATCCTCTTCTGATTTGACTGACTGGTGGTAATAATATATTCCATATTTCTAGTATTTGGATGTTGTGTCGGGTGTAGATGCACTCGATGAACCAGGTGGGATTCAGTAATCTCTCTCTATCTCCACCTACATAGATTACTTTTTAGAATCTTAACCCGACCGAAAGCTGCTACCTTGACGTGGTGGTCGGGCTTGAACACCGCAATGACCTAATCAAGCTATACTGGCTGAGACTTATGTCTCTTGAGGTTCTACCATGCCAGGCAGGTTGTTTGGATAGCGGTTAAACAAAAAGCAGCTACCCAATCCAACATCATGTCCAATACAAAATTACAAAATTTCATGCCGGATCGGCCGTGGCCCGGATTAACAACGACCGCGCTTCCTGCTGCCGTGTCACAGGGCGGGAGTGATAAATCTGCTACTGAGGCACACAAAACAACGAAGAACGAACAAAAGCAGGCCGCGTGTGACCGGCCTCAAGCAGTTGTCCCCTGGGCTCTGCGGTCACGCAACCAACTTCCACGGTGTGGGCAGCCGGGAAGTAACAATCGCCCTCACAATCCGAAATGCACACGAAACCTCTCTATTACTCACTCATCTTTGTCTTCATCTTCATCTCTATCATCTTGCCTTCCTTCCACTGATGCAACTCCTCGACTTGATAGCTCTCCACTTCCTCTCCACTCTGCGTCCACTAAAAACGATGGAAGCCAAAAAACCACCACCGACAGCCTCTTAAAGCCGCGCCACCAATTTCATATAGGAGCTCTTAATGTTAGGACACTTTGCCAAATAGGACAACAAGCATCACTAGCCAAGACCCTGGCATCACGAGCCATTGATGTATGCTGTGTTTCAGAAACACGCATACAAGACCCAAGTGTGGTTATTCACCTAACCCCACCTGGCCAACAGGTTGAATCTGCAAAATTCACCTTGAGGGTGTCAGGAGATGCCACAGCTAGTTCACGAGGATTAGCTGGCGTAGGGATAGCTTTGAGTACTAGGGCAGAAAAGACATTGCTTGACTGGATCCCGGTAGATAGCCGAATGTGTGCTGTCCGCCTGAACGGATCAGTAAGAAGGAGGAAGGACTGCACTACTCGCCGATGCCTTTTCGTAATCTCCGCCTACGCCCCCACTGACTGCAGTTCAGATGAAACGAAGGATGAGTTCTACCAAAAGCTGTCTAGTTTGGTGAGAAAGGCTAAACGCTCAGACATAGTCGTTCTAGCTGGTGACTTTAACGCTCAAGTAGGGAAATTGTGTCAATCTGAGAAGGATGTCGGTGGCACCTATGGAGTTCCGTGCCAGCGAACCGACAACGGTGACCGTCTCCTACAGTTCTGCTCTGATAATCATTTGTTTCTTGTAAGCACTAACTTCAAACACAAGGAGAGACACTGTTTGACTTGGAGACCCCCTTCATCAAACCAACGCTGGACACAAATAGACCACATAGCAATAAGCTATCGTTGGCGTGGGTCGGTAGGAGATTGTCGCTCCTTCTGGAACACGTGCGTAGATACCGACCATGCACTGGTCCGCGCTCGGGTGTGCTTACGACTGAACGGACGTAGGAAACAGCTGGCGGTAAAACCATCACGTCCCCAGCTCGATCAGGAAACTAAATCCGTATTTCAGGAAGAACTAGCTAAACACATATCTGTGTTCGACAGCTGTGCTCACCCTGAAGAAGCTTGGAAAAATATCCAGGCAGCCATAGATACAGCTGTAAAAGCTGTGAATAAGGTAAACCCAAAGGTGAGTAAAAACCACTGGATCTCCACCGCCTCATCCGAACTGATAGATGCTAGAAGACTTATTCCGGCGAGCTCCGAATTCAATGAGGAGCGAAAGCTGCACAAGAGGAAACTTACGAAAAGTCTCCGCAAGGACCGTGAACAGTGGTGGGCGACAAAAGCCAAAGAGATGGAGAAAGCTTTGAGGATAGGCAACACCAGGCAACTCTTTGGACTCATCAGGGAAACGGGTGGGAGAAGACAAATCATTAGTGAGACAATCTCGGAAAAAAATGGCACTATAATTAGCTCCCAGGATAGACGACTGGATCGTTGGAAAGAGCATTATGAGGAGCAGTTTAATTTGCCCACAGCCACGCTCAACCTTCCGAGCATCCAACACCTCCCTGAATGGGATATAGATACAGGTCCTCCGTCACTAACTGAGGTTACTAAAGCTGTCACCAATCTGAAACTAGGCAAAGCAGCGGGACCTGATGGAATGACGCCAGAGGTATTTAAGTACGGTGGAGACAGCTTACTGTCCGGATTAACTGAGGTACTAGGCAGCGTCTGGGAATCAGAAGAAGTCCCATCGGGTTGGTGTAAGTCACTGATTATCCCCATATACAAGAAGGGAGACAAGTCTTCCTGTGATAATCACAGAGGGATTAGCTTGACTAATATAGTATCTAAAGTCTTAGGCTCAATAATCATGCGTAGACTGAGTGGTGCTCGGGAAGCACAAACACGAGAGAGCCAGGCAGGCTTTAGACCAGGAAGAGGGTGTATTGATCATATCTTCACCCTCCGACAGATTCTAGAACATAGGCATTCCTACCGGCGTCCAACAGTCATTATATTTCTTGACCTAAAGGCAGCATTCGACTCTGTCGATCGGGAAGTTCTCTGGAGATGCTTGGCTGTAAAGGGAATTCCAAGAAAATATATTGCACTGATTAAGGCACTCTACTCGTACTCATACAGCCAGGTGAGGGCTTACGGCGAGCTGTCATCTGAACTGATGACGACCAGTGGTGTCCGTCAAGGATGCCCATTATCTCCTTTTCTATTCAACTTCATCATAGATGTGTTAATGGACTTAACCCTAGGTGACTTCAGCGATTCAGGGATTGACTTGCTACCTGGGAATAATCTCGTTGACTTGGAATATGCAGACGATATAGTCCTTCTAGGCGAAGACGCTGACAAAATGCAGAGTCTTCTAAACACCTTGAACAGCAATCTACGAATGTTTGGCATGCGATTCGCTCCCGCCAAATGCAAGATGATGTTACAGGACTGGACTACATCGACGCCTAGTTTAAAAATAGGAAGTGAAGTGGTAGAGCACGTTGACCGCTTCACTTATTTGGGAAGTACCATCAGCCCCAACGGGCTGATCTCTGACGAAATCTCAGCACGAATACAAGGGGCTCGTTTCGCATTTGTTAGTTTACGCCGACTCTGGCGTAGACGAGATGTTCGACTATCGACCAAAGGGCGGGTGTACTGCTCATCAGTCCGCTCCGTCCTCCTTTATGGTTGTGAGACCTGGCCACTGAGAGTGGAAGACATGAAAAGACTAGCTACCTTTGATCATAGGTGCCTGCGTTCTATTTCCCGTGTAAAGTGGCATAATAAGGTGAGCAACATGGAGGTTAGGCGTAGAGTTCTAGGTAAACAGGGGAAATCAATCGACGAAGTCGTGAAGCTACATCGACTGAGATGGTTAGGACATGTGTTACGTATGCCAAGTCATCGCCTCCCTCGACGAGCTATGTTAGCGGATATAGGGTCAGGCTGGAAAAAAGCTAGCGGCGGTCAAACAAAAACTTGGCACCAGTCAATGAAATCCACAACAGTTGGTCTAAGCCACGTAGGAAGGTGTAGACTTCCAGGCTGGGGTCCTCGGGACGGTAAAAATCTATGGTTGGAAACAATTGGTGACATGGCTCAAAATCGTTCTCAGTGGCGCAGATGCATCCACTCCCTGTGACTTATGATCTTCAATGAAACTGTTTTGTATTTATTTATTACTCCTTTGTCTCACACCTCTGCTCACTGTTTCTATTATGCTTTTCTTGTACTTTCTTCTCTTGCTTCGCGTGCTACACGGAATGTGGCGACTTGAACTTCCGCACATTTGTGCAAAGTTCTATGTCGAAAACAGACAGACAGACAGACAGAATCTTAACCGTCTCCCACCATGCTATTCTGTGATTGTGTGTGTGTTAATGCATGTAGTGCAGTGCAATTGCTGAGCTTTTTTCTAAATTACTCATCTTCTCTGGGTCAACCATTCTTACCTTAGACAAATTCTTATGTCCCGCCAATCTGATTACCTCTGATCTACTAGTTCGACCTATGTAGTTGACCTAACTCATCGTCATTTCAGGGTATTTTGTAAATTATATTATTTTGTTTAATTGGGTCCACTGAGTCTTTTAGCCTACAAAGCTTGTCCCTGAGTGAGTTTGTAGGTTGAAGCTGTTGAAGCCATAGGTACCACTTGGAACCCAACGGAATAATAATAATATTAGTAATAGTTGTTGGTTTATATTTGTGTATATTTGTGTGTACACCTGATGGTAACAACTGTGTTGATTTGACTTACCGTCTGCTTGTTTTTGCTTGTTTTTTTCTAACTGCTTAAAATTCTTACTTAATTCTGTATTTTATTTTGTTTCCATATACATCCTGAGTACAACTCTTCCATCAGACTCTTCATGTTATTATGAAATTCTTCTTTAACAATCGTTTGTGACAAGTCATCATTTTCCTTTACTACCTTCTTTTATCAACGTGTTTAGTATTACGCAACACCACGAAAAGCTTGCTAATTGTATTTTCGTTTGACCAATTTAATGTACACACACACACATGCAAAATAACCACATATATATTTGTGAAAGTACACATCTGTGAAAATGAATTCGCCAAAAAGAGACTCTTCACTGAACTACTGGTCTTCTCTCTCTATTACCCTTTTGAATGAGGATTTTTCATAACTTGGAAGGTAGCAATTAATTTTATCGGTGTTGTTGACTGTTGTTTCTTTTTATGTTGTGCTATTCGGTAGATATATGGCGAGTGAAAGGTATCCCTTATAGGCGGTTTAATTGTGTTCTAGCGGTAGAGTGCTCGCCGACCACGCAGGTGTTCCGGGGTTCAATCCCCGGTCACCAACGCACTCCTTCACCTCACTAAGCCAATATTAAGACTAGTAAAGAGGGAAGGTTAGGCATGAGACTAGCAACCTCATCCTGTAAAAATAATCACCACTGCAACAGAAAAATCAAGCCCTTAACTTGAAGCCCTATGTTCCAATGGGAATCTAGAGGAATAATAAAAAAATAGAATAAAATAAAAATTGTTCTAGCAGTGGTGTTTAGTAGATGTACTTCATATGCGGGAAGATAATTTTCTTTAGGATTTCATATGTTATTTGTTGACTGATTTGAGTGTAGACTTCTTTTGATGAAGTCGAGTCGGTATCTATTTATCCAAAAGATAATCAGGAAATATATATCTGTTGTTATCTTCTCAGGAGCAAAATGATTAATTGTACCCTTACTTTGCTGAATACTGTTTGTATACAGTTCAATTTATTTGCTGTAGGATTAATGCTTAACGTTATTGAATATTTGTCTCTGCATATTTATATTCCTAAATTTGCTGTGCTTTTTTTCTTGTCCAAGACACCTAAAAGTTGAATTTCAGCTAATTACTCTTTTTTTTGTAAATTTGATACTTTTAATCACCTTGATGATATTAAAGTTATAATCGTTTTGTAAATCATTTCTTCTAATTCCGATGAATATGTCGTCGAAGTAACGTGTCTGACTTGTCTGTCTTATTATTCGGAGTTTCTGCGTAACACTTCTAGTAATTAGTCTTTATACGAATGATTCTGTAAATGTCCTTTTCGTTGAATACCTTATCTCCATCCAAGTATTGGTTTGTAGGGATTTGGTTGATTGATTACGGGATTTGATCATGAGCTGACCATTGGTTTGAGAACCATTGGAAAACCTGAAGAGAGTACTGAACATCTGTTCCCACCGTCCCAGTTTGGGACTCATCAGCAGTACGCATCCACCGGGATTCGAACCCACTACCTTCTGGTTACAAGGCCACTGATCTCGTATACGATTAAGCCAATGGGACCCGCCAATCCAAAGGCCAGTCCATGAATTCTAACTTCTGCCAATTCACGATATAGTGCAACCGCTAGCCAATGTCTTCGGCGAGTATTTGTCCTCACACTCGACCTGCTGCATCCATCCAACCTGAACCATTGTATTTTTGTGAGTCCAGAGAGAGAGAGAGAGAGAGAGAAGTATCTATTATCGTTGACTAGTTTATTACATCCATTCTCCTGCCGCGACATTTTGTCCAATTGATATTCACAACGAAGTAACATCAGACGTTATTACAGTTTTATCTTCATCTCGTTGAATGTCTTGATTTTCTGCAAAATGTTTTACTTAGTGACTTAATAGAATTTTTACAAGATTCTGTCAGATACTTTATTCAGCATACACGTTGAATTTCCTGAATTTTTAAGAATATTCACGTTGAATACTCACGTCTCGTGTCATTCATACTTCTTGAGTTGGTTTTTCTTTTTTTTTTTTTTAATTGTTATACTAGTTAAAAACTCTTGTCAATAATGAAATAGAATCATAGTTTATCTGATAATGACAGATACTTTATACTTATGAGTCTTGGTTTTTATGGTGCTTCAATGTAAAATTGTAGATAGTTTTTTTTCTTTGTTAACTATCCTACTTACTACTTCTTACCTTATTGACATTTTACTATTGCTGTCTTATTTCACGTTTTCTGTATTTATATACCCGTTTTTTGTTTAACGTTTTAACAACAATTGTATGAGGATCTTTTAATCATCATATTGTGTTCCTCAAGTGACAATCATCATATTTTCAAATATTGGTCTTTTAGGGATTTCATTGATTGGCTACAGGATTTCATCATGAACTGACATCAGTTAGAGTGCCATTGTAAAACCTGAAGAGTGTACTGGACAGCTTTTTCCCCAGTCCTAGTTTGGGACTCTTCAGCAGTACGCCCCCACCACCAGGGTTCGAAACCAGGACCTTCTGGTTGCAAGGCGAGCTAACTCGTATACCATTAAGCCACTGGGACCCTATCCAATCAGAAGGCCGGCGCATGAATTCCAGCTTCTGCCAAATCATGACATAGTGCAACCACCAGCCAGTACTCCCACGTTTTCCAATGCTTCTGTAACCGATGTCAGCTCATGATAAAATCCTGTAATAAATTACCATATCAATATATACTTGATTCAATTGGCAGAAGTTAGAATTCATGGGTCACTAGATCGGGTCCCAGTGGCTTAATGGTATACGAGCTCGCTTTGTAACCAGAAGGTAGTGGGTTCGAATCCCGGTGGGTGTGTACTGCTGAAGAGTCCCGAACTAGGACGGAGGAAACTGCTGTCCAGTACTTCCTGTAGGTTTTCCAATGGTTCTCTAACTAATGTCAGCTCATGATGAAATACTTGAATCAAGTTATTTTATTATATATTACATCATATTGCATGTTTATTTTCAAATTATTAATTAATATTATTACTATTATTATGCAGCATATGTCTACTTGTCTCTATTAACTTGTACGCCTACTGCAACGCTTCTCTTTCGCATTTCATTACAATTTAGTTCTGGTTGTTGTAGAAAATCATTAAAATACAGCATTTTTCGTAAGTTTATTCACTCACTCACGCACACGCTCAAGCTCCTATTACATTCCATGTTTGCTGTCTTCATTCTTATCTTCATTTTTTGTTCTATGCATTATAACTGATTTCTAATTGTAACATTTCTATATATATATATATATATGTATCCATTTATGTAATGAATGAATGGTTGTTAAAGCTAGAATGGAAACCTTAGTCTCAGTGTTTAATTTTCATTTATCTAGGTATAATGCATGGTAGTTACAGTGAAATGATGACCTCTATTTAGCAAACTAATCTCATGGCTCAGGTAGTTTGGTGTGAGATTAGTAATTTGGGAGACGCTACTTTGAATACTGCCACGACCAGTGAAGTAAATATGTACAACTTTATGAGTAGGCGATGACACCACTACTGGAGAAGGTGTGGAAAGAGGGCAAAGTACCCGAGGATTGGAAGAAGGGATACTTATTCAAACTACCAAGGAAAGGAGACTTAAGTCAATGTAAAAACTGGCGTGGAATTATGCTTCTGTCCATTCCAAGCAAAATACTAAGTCGCATCATCCTGGAGAGAATCAAACAAGCCACTCTGGATGAAAAACTTCGACCGGAACAGGCCGGATTCAGGAGAAACAAATCATGTATTGATCAAATCGCCACTCTACGGATCATCATTGAACAAAGCTTGGAATGGCAGTCACCTCTCTATCTTAACTTCATCGACTTTGATAAGGCCTTCGACAGCGTCGGTCGAGAGGTAATTTGGAAATTACTTCGCTACTACGGGGTGCCACCGACAATTATACATCTCATCCAACAGTTGTAGGACAATGCTGCATGCCAAGTAATCCACAACGGGAAACTCACGGAATCCTTCAAAGAAGTGAAGACGGGAGTAAGACAAGCTGGCTGCCTACTATCGCCAATGATTTTCCTGATTACAGTAGGTTGGATAATGCGACAAACAGCGGGCAGCGATGAAACAGGCATAAAATGTACCCACACAAAAAACTTGGAGTATATGGACTTCGCCGATGATATATGACTAATTTCCCATAAACTGGAGGATATGCAAGTGAAAAGCAACAAGTTGGCAGAAGAAACACCCAGAGAAGATAGGACTTCAGGTGAACATAGAAAAGGGGGAGACAGAGGTGATGAAGATTCCTGGCCAACACCAACAGCCACAGGAACAACAACAACAGACAACAGTCAGCCAGCATAAATAGGAGGAACCTGAAGGAAACAACCTCCTTCACCTACCAACCTGGGAAGCATCGTTTCAACTACAGGCGGGCGAAACTGATGAGGATATCAAAGAGAGGATTGGGAAAGTAAGGCAAGCTTTCATTACTCTCAAGTCTGTGTGGAGGTCAACAGCACTCAGCATCAAAAATAAGATCCGGATTTTCAACTCCAAAGTGAAGTCACTGCTACTATACGGATCAGAGACTTGGCCAGAGCGTCACGAAGGGCGCTTTAAACAAACAACAGACCTTCATCGTTTCAACAGCTTTCTTCGCTCAATACTTATGATCAGATGGCCAGAAAGGATCAGCAATAGGGCCTTTGGGAGCTAACCAACCAGGTGGAACCGGTCGCACAACAAATATGCAGGACAAAATGGAGATGGATTGGCCATACTCTGAGGAAACCATCAAGTGACTTCACAAGACAAGCCATCAGTCGAGTGGAACGCGAAAGGGAAGCGGCAAGTTGGTCGTCAGTGCAAGGGTGACTTGGAGGAGGCCATGTGAAGAGGAGATGAAAGCATGTAGGCAGACTTCGAGCCTGGTGAAAACTTTAGCATAGAACCGAACGCAATTGAGACGCTCGGCTGTAGCCCTATATTCCTCTAGGAATTAAAGGAAATAATGATAATAATATGGATAGGCAGATATATTCTTCTCTGTAAACACACAGATTATTTACTTCCGAAAAGAAATTTGAATCGGTGAATGGAATTTCGATTCTCTGTAGATGCTCCGTCTTTGTGTAGTTTTCATATTACTCTTTTATTATTCCAGAGTGAAGGGGATTTTATAGCATAATAGGTTTGAACTACAACCTCTACATGATTCCAAGTCTTCTTCGAGTGGCAAGTATATATATATATATATATATATATATATATATATATATATAATACTTGTACTTTCTCTTTATCTTTTGTTGAACTTTTCGAGATATCCACTTTTAGCTTTAGGCTTTTAACTTTTCATTGTTCGTAAATTTTCTGGGAATTCACAAACTGTTTCAACCGCTATCTTATGCATGATAATGGAGTGTCAGTTACTAACACTTCACAGCGTACTATTTGATCCCCTCTTGTCTAACTAATAGAAAAGATACACTGGAAAAAGTAGAATGTGTATTCAAGCAGATGATCAGAAGTATGTTTCTCAGAACTAAGAATATTAATTATCTTTATTTATTATCTAAACGCAGAAAAAACTTGGTACAATATGGCACCAAGACTATGCGCCACACAATAATAACAAAACAACATAGATTAAAAGTAAAAATATAGGTAGAGATCGGATAAAAAACTTAATCTGGAAGGAAAGGGTCATATTTAATATGTTCAAACAGTATTCGTCAAATATTATCAGGA